ACCATTACAAGTGAGAATCGCAACACCCCCATGCTGTCTATTCTGGCGGCAGTATGAGGATGCTAGTGAGAAATTATTGACCTTAGTTGCAACAAGCTGTTCATGCTTTATCCAGTGTCTTGAGATGCAAAGGAAGTCGCATATTAGCTTATTAGCCAGACCTTGGAATGTTTAAATGAACAATTGAGAATTTTGCACTACACTGAATAATAATAATTAATAATAATAATAATAATAATCATAATAATAACAATAATAATGATGATTAATGATAACAATAAATAATAATAAAAAATAATAATACTAAATAATAATGATAAATAATAATAATAAACAATAATAAATAATATGGGGTTGTCCAGAACAACGGACGCAGGAAAGTAAACGCATATTAAAATAAGAAAGATTGATATTCAAATCAAGTTGGGTACTTTATTTTGAAGGTTCATTTATACCATTTACGTATGGAAAATAATATAATCAAATGTTCACCACGACTGGATTTACAGACGTCCTCGCGATGGTCGAAATTTTCAATGACATTTTGCAACATGGTCGGTTCTATGGCATTTATCCCGGCAATGATGTTGTTTTTGAGTTCTTGGAGGGTGGCTGGTTTGTTGACGTAGACTTTGCTTTTCAAATATCCTCATAAAAATAAGTCCAAGGGAGTCAAATCGCACGATCTTGGTGGCCATGGCACATTTCCTCTGCGCGAAATCACGCGATCACCGAAGAAGGACTGCAATCGATGGATATTGACGTTGGTTGTGTGGCATGTTGCACCGTCTTGTTGGAAATAAACATCGTCCATATCCATTCCTTCAAGTTGCGGCAAAAAATAGTCCTCTATCATCACGAGATATCGCTCAGAATTGACGGTAACGGCGTCCCCGGCCGCATTTTCGAAAAAGTAAGGTCCGATGATGCCTTTTAACCACAATGCACATCACACAGTCACTTTTTGAGGATGCATCGGCTGCTTTTGATACTCACGGGGATTTTCGTTCGCCCAGATGCGGCAGTTTTGCTTGTTTACCGTCCCATTCAAAGTGAAATGCGCTTCGTCGCTGAACATGATTTTTGATTAAAAATTGGCATCAATTTGGCGGTGTTCAAGGAGCTAATCTGAGAACGTTCGCCGCGAAAAATGGTCGGCCCGACGCAGCTCTTGCGTCAATTGGATCTGGCAGGCGTGTACATTCAAATCCTTGTGGAGAATGCGAAGCAAACTGGTTCTCGAAATGCCCAATTCTTGGGATCGACGCGTTGTTGATTGTTTCGGATCGTCTCTCACACTCTCCTTCACAACAGCAATATTTTCCGGTGTGCGAACGCTCCTTGGCCGGCCAGAGCCTGGCAGATTTGCCACAGAACCTGTTGCCTCGAATTTGCGCACCAGACGACCGATGGTTGTTTCGTTTGGGCGGTTGTTGCGACCGAAATGTTCACGAAGCGCGCGAAACGTGTTTTTTATTTTTGCACCATTTTTGTAGTACTCTTGAATAACTTTAATGCGGTCTTCAATCGAATACGACTCCATAGCGATCAATGGTAAACATTCAACTAACAAAATAACATGTCGGTGACAGAAAACAAAGATGGCGTCTATGTCAAATTGACGTTTACTTTCCTGCGTCCCTATTGGACAACCCTTATAACGATAAACGTGAAAACCACAAACCCATCTTAGAAGGTTTCGAAGTACTACCCTGTAGCCTGTACCTTTTCACTTTTATCACGAGAGTAGTACATACACAACTTAATATGGGCTTCAATATCAGGATAATTTCAAAGCCAGTTACTTGGTGACGTAATGACAGGGGAGTTGTTCTTCCTTGGCCCGAGATACGGTTGGTAGAGCTGGGTTGTCGGGGCCAAGCCTATTTTTAGGAAAAACCTTTTGGGTACCTTCAATATTCTACCGACTCATGACATGCACAACACTACTGTCTATTCATTTTGTTAATTAGCTGTCTCGATACTGATCACAAAACAATGTAATAATTGGTCATAATATTTCTCAATTATATTATTATAAATTACAAAACATTGAATGGGGGAAGTCACACCTGATATGGAAATATAATACCTCGCACGGAGGAACGGTAGCTTCCTACCGCATTGAAGTCACGCCCGTGTCCATGATCAGGGGAACGGTAGCCTCCTACCGCATGGAAGTCACGCCTGATATGGAAATACTTTGAACGAGGGAACGGTAGCTTCCTACCGCATGGAAGTCACGGCCGTGTCCTTACTTGGGGGAACGGTAGCTTCCTACCGCACTGAAGTCACGCCCGATATGGATACCTTAATAATCTGGTGCTTAGACAGATATGCCAAGTATTTTATGGTTACGAAAAGCAGCCCAGAAAACAGGATATCACGTTGACGTGTCAATACCCAAAAGCAACGACGTTACCACTCATTGAGAGATAACCGAGCAGCGTGACAACTTTAAGTAACAATCTCTATACACGTCTTGTCATGAGATACTTTCAGACTCCTGCGATCGCCTCGAGAAGAACCTTGGCGGTCACACAGACCCAAGATACCACGCCGGCCAATGGCCGATGTGTCAATACCCAATACGCTCCGACATTTCCCCTGACAGAGGAAACCGAGCAGTAATTCCCCCGAAGGCACCCGGCTCAGTAGGTCTCATAACAGCCTCCAGGGTATGGAGGCGTCACACCTCTGTAGATATTTGACTCTAAGTTACCTTTAACTTTGTCTTAACTGTTGATAAACATATCTCATATGACTAGTTTTGACTTATTACAATTATTATCATGATTATAAGGGTACCATGGTTAGAAAATACACATGACATGCAGTACAGCAATACAATAAAAGATATTCAGTGAAAACCCTCACCGTTTGATCGAACCTAGACCTGAACTTGATATGGGCACTACTCACAAAATCACAACACACAGACACTTCGACCTTTAAGCTGTTAGAACAACATCAGAATGAACTGAGAGGGCCTGTACCTCAGCGTGCCCTTGGGTTCACGAATACGCAGGGTCGTAAGTGGTTGTTGAAGTGTGCATCCAAGCAGTTCCTTTCTTTGCATTCCAAGTGTCAAGCGAACCTTTTACAGGGAGACTCACATGCAGAAAAGTGTCTAAAATATTGTGTGTGCTTACATAATGATAATGATAATCATGATAATAAAAATGATAATAATAATCAATTTGAATTGCGAGATTATAAATCCTTGTGCTTCTTCTAGACATCGCGAAATACTATCAATTTTTATCGAGATAAAAACTTCAGTGGTCTCCACTTAGTATACTGCTGACTGCATGAATGAGAAAATGGGTATCGTATGGGCAGAGAATATTTTCTGTTTGATGACATTTAGACCCAGGAATGAAACGGACATGCGAGTTTCCCGCTCTAAGCGACAGAAAATGAAGCTGTCATTTTACCATAGCAAGTAAGCTTTACCCTGAGACACTTAGTCGTAGTTATCATAGTATCATTTCACAAAACTTACGCATTGCGTCTCTAGTCGTGTGTTTTTCAATGCAGGAATATCCTGTAGTTGTCTGTTTGATCCTTTTTTTAAAAATTAATCTGAAAAATCAATTAATAATTTCACACAGTGCTTTTCAGAAGGATTCCCCCTACTCATCTTTTGAACGGTTTATCTCAGGGACCTGAAATTCAGGCTAATGGAATTGACGCATGGTTACTCTATTTTAGCATAAAAATAACATTCAAAAATTTCAAGATAGCGGCAGAGTAGATTAAGAAAATTATATTATGCTAAATTATAGATAAAAATATGTCACGCTGTAATCACACGAGTAATCACTCCACAGGCACACATCTCAATGCCAAACTTATGCCGTCACTAAAATGTAAGGTATTTACTCAAAAATCTTTCCAGAATTACGCAATGATGAAATAAAATGAAAAGTCTTGAAAACTCCGAGGGTTGTATTTTTATAAACCAGATTTCACTCAGTTATTAAATACGACGTACAATGTAAAATGAGTGCATTAAGTTGAGTTAATTAGAATATATACCCTCATTAACATATATAGACATTTAGATATACAGAGTGATCCCAGCACACAACCAATAATGCATCATTCTTCGGTTTTACGTTTTCCTATATTACACTCTACCCGTCATTACATTTCTATATTAAGGGAAGTTGTCAACATAAGGAATCTTCAAGATCTAAGAGAATTGTGAGTTCTCCGTAGATGAATATCATATCAATATCTGCCTATTATTAACATTTCCAAGAAACTTAAGATATGGAACTTTCCCATAATTATTCTTATAATTTGTATGACTTACTTTTCGGAACCAAAACACTGACTGAACTAAATATAACTCGGTAGAACTCCATACAAATAATTTGCAGTTGTCAAGCCCATTGTCAAATCAGGTCAAAGAACGAAGATGGAAAATTCAAGACCGATATCAATATTATCGGTTTTCACTAAAGTATTTGAAACTGTCTTAAAAACAAAATTCAATGCATTTATTGATAAATATAAATTATTACAACAACACAAGATGCAATGGTTGATGTTTTAGGTAAAATTGACAATTGCTTAGATGAAGATGATTGCTGTCTGTGTATCTTTGTTGATCTAGCCAAAGCCTTTGATACAGTGAATCATAGTTTGCTGTTGCAAACAATGGAACAGAGGTAATGCCTACACGCCCATGAAAAGCTACTTAACCGATAGAAAACAATGTGTGAAAATCGGAGATCAAGTAAGCGAATAACGTGTTATTATGCCACAGGGTACTGTTTTAGGACCTGTCCTATTCTTATTATATGTCAATGATCTATTCGCTTTGAACTCATGAGGCAAAATAACGAGTTTCGCAGACGACACGGTAATTTATTACAAGGATAAAACATGGGAATCGGTTCGAAAAACAGCAGAGTTAGATTTTGAAAATATAATCAGATTTTGTCACTCAAAAATTTTAACAATAAATTTTAGTAAAACATTTTTCTTACCTTTCTATAATAGTGATAAAACTGCTCCAAATTTCTTATCGCTAGATATAAAAAATAATAATGGTATAAAGATAAATCGAGCGTCTAAAATAAAATATTTAGGGATAATGATTGATGACTGCCTTAAATGGCATGCTCAGGTTGACTATCTTATAAATAAAGATCGCTAATACCAAGATTCAAGTTCTTTAAAGATTTCTTAACTACAAAACAATTGATTTCAATATATGCATTAGTCCATCACTATTAAGTTACGGCATTGTTGGATGGAGGGGGTACTGCCTACCGCATTGAAAAAACTTGAAATTGTACAAAAATGGATTTTGAAAATTATTTTAGGTCAATCAACATTCTTTACCCAACCGAAAAAGTATATCAGGATTCTTGTGTTTTGAGTACCAGACAATTCTATTGTATGAACCTGCTGTTATTTATTTGTAAATACAAGCATACTCTGCTGAAACCAGAGCATACCATGAGACAACTCTCCAGACCCGAAGGATGGATAAGCAAATTGGGCAAAGGTCATTTGAATATATAGGCCCACGAGTCTATAATCTTCTGCCTGATGAATGTAGACAACGCACTAGTTACTTACTATACATACAAAAAATGTATAAAACTGTGGATACAAGAACAATCGTATATGATATAATAAATTAATGTATATATTCAGATTTTCTCAACAAAAACTTACCTACTTTTAGAACTGTAGAAATTTATAAGGTTTTAAATTCAGTTTATTTAAATGGATATATATTATATGATAAATTTGTGTAATTATGTGATATAATCATATATTCAATAATAATTAAGAACATATCAAAATATATCAGTATGTATTGTAATGAGAATGTTTCGTATGGGTAAATATCCGCGCACAGGCAACGGCCTTCTGCGGGTACTCTATGTTTATTTGTTTTGTTCAAGACTAATTGTATTTTATAAATAAACATTATTATTATTATTATCAAAAATTCCATATCCCAGCAATAAATGGTCGTGTCGAAGTTTTGAAAAAAGCAAATTGCAGTTGAATAAACAAGGCTATATATAAGTCTCTAATCTAATGGTTTAGCGGAAAAATATTTTTCCAAGTCCAATGACCTAAATAAAAATATAAAAAATGCTATTTTTTTCCTTTCATAGGATTGCGTGGAACGTTTACACTTAATCATTTTTTTACTAACAGATCCAAAAACTAGACAAAACAAGTTTTAAAACGCTTTTCTGAGAAACTCTAAACGACTATTTTTACTGAGATACAGCACTTCAAAGAATTACTAAAAATGACAATTTTTATTGGATCTCTTGATTTTTTCCATTAATGTATTAACCATTCCCTACTTTGCACAAAATTAAAATACTTTGGTCTTGGTATTTCTTCTGTCATGGTCGTTAAAAATTATGCGATAGATCTCAAAAATTGTTACATATAGTAAGAGCTCCTATATGCACATGGTAGGAAGAGGTGTGTCACAGGGTAGTGTGCACGGCCTTTATTGTTTAGCATACGAGTATATTCGTCTGATCGTTGCAAAAAGTTTGGACTTTGTAATATCCATCAATATGCAGACACACCTTTATTACTCATTTTCAAAAGATGGCGCTTAGATTGCCAGTGAGTGCATTAACTCTGATTTGAATTACAATGCTGAGTATTATAGGAAACTTAATTTGATATTAAATGTGCAAGAAACTTGAATGATTCACGGTTCAAAATATTTTGAAACTGCAACTTTATACGTTGAGAGTGAGGTAAAAGTTGTGTCGCATGTAATATACCTAGAGCAAAAATAATATGAACAGATACTGTTTCAATACACAGACTGAACTTGATTCATCTAATTCTCTCATTTTACCGCTAGCTGAGTATTGTAACATTTTTTTGTCAGCTTCAACTAACCGTTAAAAATGCACGGTGCAAAAAATCCAAACGTCTTGCATCAAGTCTTACGGTTTGCAGAATTTTGACCATTTTAGTGATTTTTTCTTGAAATCTGGGAAGTTGAATATTGATGAAAGTTTAGAATTTATCTTACTTGCCCGGTCTATAACATTAATACCATCTTACCCATATGGACGCTATATTGGCATTTTGTACATTTAAATGAAATTTTCAGTGCTTAATTCAGTGACATATTTCCTAAATTGGCCATTAGTTTGCTGACGGAACGAAAATTATAAGGAAAAAAAAAGATATAATGCCTGATTCTAAATGAATTTCCACTGTTCGATGCCGCGTTACGTCATAGATACATACAATGAAAATCAAATACCACTGTCGTCGTAATGTGTACGTCAGAGAAGCGCGAAAAGCTTGCAATACGTGTGTTAAAAAGAGACAAAAGCACCTGGTCACCCAGCAATCCGAATACGATGTCACAGAAGCCATCGGCACACTCTTTCTAACATAGATATTGCGCGCTTATCTGTCGTACACATTACGACATCAGCCAAATTTGAATCGCACCGTATAAACCACTATGACCATTTTGACACCTGATTCTTGTCGTCTTTTATAATCAAATTATCATGGCAGTGTCAATGTATCATCGCGGATCAAATATATGACGGCAAGTCGTCATCGAAATTAATTTCAACGGTCGGACTCAATTACAATCAAGCTCATGGTGAAACCTGAACACGAAATGAAAATTTTATTCATCGTAATGACATTCTGACCACACAGTACAAGGAAATGCTAAACATGAAATATTTGCTTAATAATTATACTTACATCATTGTCGGAGTTTCCACAGACTGAACAGCATTTACACTCGATGCACTGCCAACGATACTTCTTCACAGAAACCTTCATGTTGTCGGTAAATTGTAAGCATGTTGGATGGCCTAGAAAAATAAACGTATTCAAATAATTTATATTTAGAGCGTAGGTTTTTCCTATAACTTTTCCACCAAATGATTTCCCTGTACAATTTCACCATTATTTCAAAATTACAAAATTTCGTCGCTCCATGTTTTTGAAATCTACTCAAGGAACGCTTCGGTCTCAAGTGAATTTTGTGAATGTAATTGGAAGCATGTAGTACTAGACGTTCAGACGAATGAAAGTGACCTACTTTCCATCAGTTTTAAGGACTTTTACGGACTATCCTTTGATATAAAGTTTCTATGTGTGTGTCAATAAAATCCGTGAGCAGAATGCAGGAAGTGGCTTACTCAACGACAAATAAAAACGATGCATTACTAACAGAAAGGTCAAAAACTGTCCACTGAAGCTTTGCTAGAATGACAAAGTACATCGTCAATGTTCAGCTAATAGAGGTTTAATTAATGTATGTATGTGTGTATGTATATACATATTTATGTACGAATGTATGTACAGCCTTGATCAAAAGTATTAGGCACCCTAAGAAACTACTGCATATTTCAGTTAAAACAACTTTTTAGGATTTAATTACTTTATTTCCACGAGGTAATTAATAAAGCAATATTATTTTGTTGGACCAGTCTTAGATTTTTGCGCAACAGTAACTCTGTAGGCCATACGTAAAGTTTAGCGCATTTAGTGCAATTTTTTATGTGATATCACGCTCTTTTATGTTTCGCTTCAAAATATCTCACAAATGTTCAATTGGATTTAGATCCAGATACTGTTTAGGGCAATCTAATATTGTTGTCAGTAAACTAGCGCATCATAGTCACCAATTTATGAGCATTCCTCTGGCTACCGAACCAGAATTTCAAATAGTTAATTACTCGCAGAAAGGACCAAATCAGACCAACGTTTCGTGCCACTACGAAGTTGAAGTCTTTGCTGAAGACGAGCTATACAATGCTGCTGAAAAGATGAAGAATGAGGGAAAGGATGTAAAAGAGGCTCTGTAAGAGCAGCACCAGAATGGATCCTGCAGATCCTCAATTGCCACTGATCGCACAAGAAATCCTAGATGAGTGGAAAGTGGTACGGTTGGAACTCATACTAAAAGCCGGAAAGAACTTCGACGACCCTGCAGCGCTCAGACCGATTTGCTTGCTTAATACGTAAGCTATATGAGTGGATGATTAAACAACGCCTTGAACTGGGGCTGGAAAAAAAGGGAGGCCTGTCACGGCATCAATTCGAATTCAGAAGAGGAATGTCGACCATTCAATCAATCGAGGATGTCATGAACGCGAAGCTGGAAACCCGCGACAAGTGGTGCGCAGTAGTCACACTAGATGTGAAGAATGCGTGCTATATGGAGCTTCAAAGTGAAGCAGCTGCAGAAGAAACATTTATCCCGCTACCCCATCAACACAGAGTGTGCATACTTCAACGGGCGAAAACTGCGGATTGACAACAAAGAACTGGAGGTGACGGCTGGTGATCCTCAGAGCCTGTCCTGGGTCCGATCTTACGGAATGTCCTCTATGATATCGTCCTGCAATTGGAGCTTACCGACGAAGCTCACGCAATTGGTTTCGCTGATGACATAGCGATTGTGATCACAGATGAATCCCTGAGGCGTATCGACAGGTGGATGGTGAAGCACCAGCTGGAGTTTATCCCCCCACAAATCCGAGGCCGTGATACTGAAGGCCCAGGAATAGACAAAAAATAGCATTCAGCATGAGAGACATCATTATCAAAACTAAGGGCGTAGTGAAGTATCTGAGGGTCTACATACTCGTAGACTCCAGTGGAATGTTCGGGCCACACTTTACACAAGTCGTGAAGAAGGCCGAAAACAGAGTTGCTTGACTTGCGAGACTACTACCCAATATCAGAGGACCCAGCTCTCCAAGCAGATAAACCCCGTGTGAAGTAGTTCACTCCACCATACTACGAGCCCCTTCCCACTTCAAGATTTGTTCCAAAATATGCCTTTATAAACTAAACATGACGAAACTATTTACTTCTAAAACAATTTATTTTCCCAAAAACATTTTCTAGTGGTAAAAAAGCAACAATTGAAAGATTACCATTGGGTAACATCACCTTAATTTTTTATTATGGCTGAAATTCTTTGGGGCATAGTGTTAACCAAGTTTTGGCAAAAAATTGATGTAAAACAATCCCATATTTCTTGAAGATTTTGTCTCAGTTCGGTGATTGTACGAGCAGGATGTTGTCGTAGAACCTTTTTCATCTCGTGCCACAAAGTTTCAATAGGTGACAGATGTGGACTGCTAGAAACCCATTTCAAAAGTGGTACATTATTTCCTTCCATCCATTTTATAGCCTTTTTTGAGGTATGGCACGCTGCACCATCTTGCTGAAACACAAAATTTTGGCCGAATGTCAAACATTCTTCCATCACTGGTAAAAGGGATTCTTCTAAAATTGCCAAATATTTGTTTGTATCCACATTTCCATCAATAAAATGAAGTTTTCCTACTCCTTTTGATGACATACTGCCCCAGACCATAATGGATGCTGGAAATTTCACTTTTCTCTTCAGACAGTCAACATGGAATACTTCATTTTTCTGCGAATAACTCTACTGCGACTGTCACCAACACAAACTTCGAATTGGGCCTCATCACTCCATTGTATTGCACACCATTGTTGAGGTGTCCATTGTCTATGTTCTTTAGCCCATCTAAGCCGATTTTTCTTTTGCAGTGGAGTTAATAGTGGCTTTTCTTTGGCCTATAAACAAGTTGTGAAACTTTAGGGTTTTTACTTCACTTTTTGTATAAGAAAACTTACCTTGCAAGTGCTAAATCCCAGTTTGTGGGCCTCTCTATGAGTTGTGGACCTCGAAATTCTCCACAGAGCACTTTATTGTAAATAATTGGCACATATCGTGGCTTAATATTAACTGAACCAGTTACGTTATATCTTCTAACAATATTTCTCACACTGTACCGCGATAAGTCTAACAAAGTTGCAATTTCTGAGTTTGATTTCCCAGAATTAAAAAATGTAATTATCAGTAACTGAATTTTCTCACTAATAACATTTCCGCTACCGATTTTGAAAACCTTAACTACCCAAAACTATTTTAAACGTATTTTGACAGCTGTGATTAATAAAAACAATTGTCATGGCTTTTATTTTTCACAGCCACCTATGCGTTATAGACTTATTTTGCATTGAAATGAAAATAGGTTGATATGCTGTAATTGCAACATGTGTTATTTTTATGCTGCAAATTTTGATTAGGGAGTGATAAAGTTGGTGTTTTCTACTATATATTATCAAAATATTCATTGTTAATATTTTAAACCTATAACACCCTGCTACATTTTTATTATTTGTGTTTGATTAGAAAAAAACTAAGATTTCAATAGTTAGGCCAACTGAAGTGGGAAGGGGCTCGTATATGGAGCCCCCATCTGGCACACAGTCCTAAACATCAAAAGGTACGAAGAAATGCTAGAGAAAGCCCAGATACGTATCCTGATGAGAGTATCCAGTGCGTACCGCACCACGTCAATCGTGGGGCTAGAGATGATATCGAGTGGCATACCTATCGTTCTACTGATCGAGGAACGCCGGTACCTGCCCGAAACGGGGATAGATATACGGCGACAATTAAAAAAGCAACTAGGGAGGGAAGTCTCAATTTGTGGCAGCAGCGGTGGACTGAGGACACGGAAAAAGGCAATAAACCAAGCTCCTCACACCGCATATTCGACGCTCGGTGAACTGCGAGTTTCAAGCAATAGATTTCATCGTGACCTAGTTCCTGAAGGGGCATGGCACTTTCAGAACCTACACGGCCTGATTCGGGATCTCAGATGCACTATGCGTGTACTGCGGACAGGACGACACCCCAGACCATACGATGTTGGTTTGCAGCAGATGATTTGCTTATAGAGCCGAAGCATACATGGAGCTAGGTTTCAAGACCCTGATGGATGCAATGACAGGCGCCAATGGGACACCCTATCGAAAATGATTCATAAGATAATGACGACAAAGGACCAGAAGAGGAAGATACCAACATACCCGCTCCCAATCTGCGGCAAGTCAGGAGACACAGAAGAAGCCAGAAGACGGATGAGGGGAGGAACGTCCAACCTTTAAGCCCCGAACTACTAATCTAGTAAACCCGGGAAGGGAGATGTAGGGCGTAAACAAGAGATCAATATGAAGAAAATATGCCATCTACTCCGAACGCTAATACGGATTTTGGAGAGGAAGGTCAACAACTCAAGCTGTTGAAAACAAAGTTTAGGCCAAGCTAGCACGAATAATGCCCAACACGGTGTTGTACGGCGTAGTAGAATCAATAATTCTGTATGCAGTACTCACATGGCAGAAATCTCCGATGTACAAAAAATATCAACCATTGCTCGATGCCTCACAGAAAAAGGTGCTGCTGAGAGTGGCTTGCGCGTATCGCACTGCCTCAACGCGTGTGCTCCAGATCATCACCGCAATAACTCTCCTCCTTTTGATAGCCAAATAGAGGGTACAAGTTTACCAATGCGCAAGACACTCGCTGAGAACAAAAGGGAGACGAAAACAAGGTTGATAAACGAGTGGCAATCTGAGAGGGACTAAACAGCAGACACGACACAGTGGACGAAACGGCTGATGCCAGCGTTAGCTGTTTGGGAGGGATGCAAGCATCGCCAGATAAACTACTATCTTACCCAGACATCAACTGGGCATGGGCCATTCCGTAGTTGCAGGAAAAGAATGGGGCACATCACTGATGACAAGCGAAGTATATGCACTCATCATTATACGATTTTTGTATTCTCTTCATAAATACCCGAAAACAACAATGCTGCGTCAGTGCCTGCGTTAAATGGTAGTACAGCCGTCTGTGTTTGAAAGCAATCCACTTTCCGATGTCAGGTATGAGCTTTTTCGTCCACTGAGCCACGTCCTCTGCTAGATGCCACTTGATCTCCCATCTTTTCTGCGATACAGCCTCACTCCTTCTTCCGCAAGCAAGTAGATCGGTGCTATCCCTGTAATATGTACGAGGGCGGTTCAATGAGTACCCGTGTTAGAAATGAATACACCTTTTGTTCCAATTTTTTTTTTATTTTTCAACATAATCCCTTTTTAGAAAGACACACTTTTCACAACGTTCCTCCCATTTTTTTAACCCCCCCAAAAATAGAATTTGTCGAACTCTCCAAAATACGCCTGTCTCGGCGATGACTTCCTCGTTTGAGCTAAATTTTTCCCCGCGAGCCATTTCTTCATGCCAGGGAACAAGAAAAGGTCGCAGGGGGGCAGATCGGGTGAAAACGGGGGGTGCGGCAGCACTTCATAACGCAATTCATGCAGTTTGGCGGCGACAACTTCGGATGAATGTGCTGGTGCGTAATCCTGGTGAAACGGCACCTTCTTTTTCGTCAAATGTGGCCGTGTCTCCTTCATTTTTTTGTCGAAGCGGTCCAATAACTCACTATAGTATTGTCCAGTGATCGTTCTTCCTTTTTCTAAAAAATCCACGAGGATGACGCGGTCCGCATCCAAAAAAATCGTCGCCATGACCTTTCCGGCCGATGGGCCCGTCTTCGCCTTCTTTGGAGCTCATTCACCGGGAGAAATCCATTGTTTTGATTGTTGCTTAGTTTCTGGTGTGTAATGATGAAGCCAGGTTCCATCGACGGTGACAACTCGACGCAAAAACTTCTTCGGATTTCGCTTAAATTGCTCCAAACACTGCTTCGAAGTTAACTGCTGCAGCCGCTTGTTGTCCACCGTGAGAAAGCGCGGCACCCATCGGGCCGACAATTTTTTCATAGCCAACTTATGTAAAATATTGATTGCCTTTCCGGTCGATACACCTACGGCCTCTGCAACTTCGCGCACTTTCGTTTGTCGATCATCGAGAATCATGTCGTGGACTTTTTGAAAGGTTTCCTCAGTAACCACATCTGTCGGGCGTCCTGGTCGATCCTCATCAAATACGGATGTTCGCCCACGTTTATATTCGTTGAACCAATATCTAACTGTGGTCATAGATCGCGAAGCGTCCCCATAAACAGCATCCAATTTTGCTTTTATCTCCTCGCATTTTTTCCCACCCAAAAACAAAAAGCGAATTACCGAACGATAATGCTCTTTTTCCATCTTAGCGAAAACCACGAAACACGTGTTACTCGAATGGCTGCCAAATCCAAACTAACCTATCAGTCTGAAATTTGTTGTGCCGTAGTTTGATAGATGGCAGCACACGATGATAACATTAACTTTCCTCAGGAACTCCCTCTGTCGTCAAACGCGGGTACTTGTTGAAAGGCGAACATGTGCCTGTATCTTTGAAGATTGGCGTACCATAAAGTAGTGTTGAAAGCACCACACTGTGTATAGCCCCTACTGTTGTTGCTGGTAGGTCCTCCGATGTTTGGCATAATTCTTGCTAGCGATGCTACTTTTCTGTCTGCTTACGCTACGGTTGCCCGAGTGTCTTCCCCAAAGTGACCTCCTTCTTCCAAATGGATTCATAGGTACTTAATGGATTTCTTTGGTATTACAGTGGTTCCCTACAGTTGAAGGTAATGCCAGCTTTGTTCTGCTTCACCTTAAGGATGACAGCTTCTGTTTTCTGCAGTGCAAGTTCGAGGTAGTACTATAGACATCACTGAGAGAACAAAGCCTAACAACTGAGCTGCGA